AAATTTCAATATAAAGTTGGATTTGCCTGTCATTAAATATTAAACGATTTCTCTTCCAAATAAGCTGTTTTCACTTTAAGCTTGTCAGTCCTCCTTATCATTCACAGGTGAGAACATTGTCTGTGTAATAGATTTCTTTCCTTTCATTATAGCTATAGCTAGAGTTGCCACACAAGCTGTTTATCAGTTGATCATTGGTTGCATCCAAAGCTGTATCATCATTCTTGTCTTTTTAGGAGTCCTTCAATAATGTTAAACAATGGCTGCAGGAGATAGATCGCTATGCCAGTGAAAATGTCAACAAGTTGTTGGTAGGGAACAAATGTGATTTGACCACAAAGAAAGTAGTAGACTACACAACAGCGAAGGTATGTATGAGGTTTTTTTTTTTTTTTTTTTTTTTAAGGGTTTCTCTGTGTAACAGCCCTGGAACTCACTCTGTAGACTAGGCTGGCCCCAAACTCACAGAGATCCTCCTGCCTCTGTCTCCCGAGTGCTGGGATTAAAGGCGTGTGCCACCAGCGCCTGTCAAGGTTTGATTCAAATTGAATTTTAATTGTGGGGACAGGAGTCATACAGTGGCTAAGTCTTTAAAAGCTAGTAAATTAGTCCTTCATTCCCATTTCAGAAAGCATTAACAGAGCAAGTTAGAAAGATTTTCCAGTGTTCATTGTTCCTTATTACTCTTTCAGGAATTTGCAGATTCCCTTGGAATTCCATTTTTGGAAACCAGTGCTAAGAATGCAACGAATGTAGAACAGTCTTTCATGACGATGGCAGCTGAGATTAAAAAGCGAATGGGCCCTGGAGCAACAGCTGGTGGTGCAGAGAAGTCCAATGTTAAAATCCAGAGCACTCCAGTCAAGCAGTCAGGTGGAGGTTGCTGCTAAAATTTGCCTCCGTCCTTTTCTCACAGCAATGAATTCGCAATCTGAACCCAAGTGAAAAAACAAAATTGCCTGAATTGTACTGTATGTAGCTGCACTACAACAGATTCTTACCGTTTCCACAAGGTCAGAGATTGTAAATGGTCAATACTGACTTTTTTTTTATTCCCTTGACTCAAGACAGCTAACTTCATTTTCAGAACTGTTTTAAACCTTTGTGTGCTGGTTTATAAAATAATGTGTGTAATCCTTGTTGCTTTCCTGATACCAGATTGTTTCCCGTGGTTGGTTAGAATATATTTTGTTTTGATGTTTATATTGGCATGTTTAGATGTTGGGTTTAGTCTTCTGAAGATGAAGTTCAGCCATTTTGTATCAAACAGCACAACCAGTGTCTGTCAATTTCCATGCATAAAGTTTAGTGAGACGTTATATGTAAGATCTGATTTGCTAGTTCTTCCTTGTAGAGTTATAAATGGAAAGATTACACTATCTGATTAATAGTTTCTTCATACTCTGCATATAATTTGTGGCTGCAGAATATTGTAATTTGTTGCACACTATGTAACAAAACTGAAGATATGTTTAATAAATATTGTACTTATTGGAAGTAATATCAAACTGTATGGTGATAAGTATTGTTTTAATTCTTATGGTTAAAGGGAAATAGAGATTTGCATTATACTCAACAACCAATTTATGTGTGCAACAAGAGCACTGTAGACCTATCTAATAGCACAGCATCCAGTATTTGCTTTCTAGTAATAGACCTGCTAAGTGACCTAGAGAAGCTTCTGTGCTGTGTAGACTGAACCAAACTCATTGGTTCAAGGAGCTCAAACTGTATGGAAAAGAAGTTTAGAATGTATGCTTCCTAGTGCTTCATCTCAAATTCTAAAACTGTTGTCTGAAGTGGCTTCACTCAAACTTTCTTCATGCATCTGTCTGTGGTAGAGAATGGAGAGCAGCACATGCTTCCTCCCAGGCAGTGATCTGGTAACATACATGTGCTGGTGCTTCCTCCGTGCTCTTTAGATGCTGTACACCCACCCCACCCTGCCTACCCCCAGTTTGGGGATTTTTTGGAGATTGCTTTTGGAGACAGGGTTTCTCTGTGTAGTCCTGGCTGTCCTGGAACTTGCTCTGTGGACCAGACTGGCCTCCAACTCAGGGATCCACCTGTCTCTGCCTCCAAGTGCTAGGATTAAAGGCATGCACCACCATGCCTGCTTAAAACTTTTTTCTTTTTCTTTTTTGAGACAGGGTCTCACTATGTAACCCTGGCTGGTCTGCAACTTAGTATGTACAGCAGGCTGGCCCCTCAGAGATCCACCTGCCTTTTCCTCCCACGTGGTGGAATTAAAGGCGTGCACCACAATACTGAGACTGCAACGTTTTTTTTTGAGACAGTGTCTCATGTAGCTCAAGAGGCCTCAAATTCACTTGTAACCAAGGATGGCCTTGAACTCCTGATCCCCCTGCATCCACTTCCAGGTGTCAACTTTTTATTCTTTCCAGTGTATAACTCATGTTGGAGGAGAGGTCAAGCATTAGAATAGAAAGCAGGAAATGTTGATTGCCCTAATTGTAGGAATTATATCCCCCCCCCCCAAATTAACTAAAAACACGAACGCTAGATGGGAATGATGAGAGAAATAATATATTTCGGTGAAATTTTTGCATGTGTGGAAGTTTTGTTAACTAGGACCTTCAAGGTCCTAGACTGCTTTTGTCTCACTGTGAGAAAGTCTCTTGCGGACACTAGCATTTAAGGTGACAGAGGTCAGAGATTGTTTCCTTTGGTTTAAGCAGCAGCCAAACATTCTTTAATTGGGGGCTTAGGATGTTGCTGCTGACAACACATTTTATTATGGGGTCTTTAATGATAAAATATTAAACTAAAAGTAAGCCAAAAATTACAGGTTTCTTTATTTTTCACTAAACAGACGATTGAAATACATGGTACAAAAATAAGTGGTAAGATTATTGTAAAATGAAAATGAACAGAATATTCAATTTAATTTTCCATCTATGAGAATTTCACAATAAAATCATAGTTTACTTTGTATTATAGATGTGCTTGTTGGGTCTATTCGTCCTTATATAAGATAAGGCAACTGGAAATTCTTGAAGTCACTAATAATTATATGGGTCAATATATAGTCACTGTATATATTTCTTGTCAATACAAAGGGAGAAAGTTCATAAACTTTTCTATAATAACTAAATGACAAAAGAACAATAGAAGACAAAGTGATGCCAAACACTATAATTTTACAGAAAAAGTTGTTCAGACTGTTGGCTTATTCTTTATTAGCAGAAAACATTTATAATATAAACATATTTACAGACTTTGTAAATTCTAGTGTTCCTTCACCATTTCAGCATACTTCAGCTATTTGCTTTTATATATGTGCCAATAAATGCATTTTTTGGGGGGGGATATCCCATTTTTCAAGTATAAACATTTCAAGACTATTGGGGACTTTAATTTGTTCACATAATAAAAAAATACCGCATTATATTAAAAATAAAAAGTATACAGTAACTTGCATCATATGAAGAGCATTCTACTCAGTGGCCATCGCTGGGAACCCTTACCCAACAATACATTGGGCTCATGCTAACTTCCTGTGCTTAACATGGGTAGAAGTTCCCTTAAGCACATATTTGGCCATTCAGCATACCTTGCACCACCACTCCTCTTGAGTTCCATTTAAGTTTCAGAACAGCCCTATCTTTGAAGCCTCTTTGTTTTGTGTTAGAGTTTAGCTGTAGACTGACATGAACATGATTGAGATGTTACTTTATTGTGAACTCAAATGAATTTTAAGGAACCGTGTATAAATTCTAACATGTCCATGTGCATCTACCCTGGTCACATTTGCACTTGGAAAGATGGCACCATCCTAGGCTGAAAACAATTTCAGTTCAAAGTTCTTAACACACAGCAGAAGATATAATTAATGTTTATGTTGCTATTCTATTCCTAAGTGGCATTTACAGCATCTACCCTTTAGTTACAAAAAAAGTCTGTCTTTTTTTTTTTTTTTTTACAAAGAGGATGAACAAAAGCATAGATCATCTTCAAGAAAGTGGTACTTTGTTGGGAAACAGTATATTCCAAAATAGACATTGTCAGTTGAGGCTGATTGTAATTACACAGTAAGAGAACATTCAGTTAGTACAACTGGCTAGCTCTTTTTTCTCTAAGGTTCTCTTACGTTGTATGACTTCCATCGGCTGTCAAATGGGTTTAATTTCTGAGGGCTGCTCTAACTTCCTGATGGAAGGGCAGTTTAAAGACACATCAAAGATGTAACAGTTTAGTGATTTTTAACCAATTCTCATTTGCTAGAAAAGCATTCTTTTTGACCTTTGAAAGTACATTACTCACCATGTACAATGTAAGAAATAAGCTTGACTTAGAGATGACAGCCTCAAAACAGTTTAATACGGATCACACCCATAAACATTATGGTAAGCCATTCTGTGTAGCAGCAGCCATGTGAAAATACTGTACTTTATGTGTAGCTTACCAAGTAGGTAATCTTTCTCATTCTATAGCCCTGGCCAGCCTGGAACTCTAATTAACACAGACCAGGCTGGCCTCAAACTAAAAAATCTTCCCAAGTGCTAGGATTAAAGTGCACAACCATGTTTGTCCCACACAACTAATCTTTTAAGTCCTTTTTGTTGTTGTTGTTCAAGCTGAAAACCCCATCTTTGATACTCTGTGGAATTTGTGGTAACCAGCATACAATCACTTTGCTTCAAAAGCTGTAATTGATGCTCTGAACAACTGATCCATGGATTTTTCTTATTTCTTCCTGACAAGGCACTACCTGTTGACTCTCATGAAACAAAGAATGTCCCTTTTTTCATCAGCACAGGCTGCTTTAGTTTCTGTAAGGACCAGACTGTGTGGCTGTACCCATCCCCTTCCTTGGACTAGTCTTCCAGGGGAAAGAGAAGTAGAGGACCGAATGCCCCAGAGGTAAGCAAAAACTTAAGGATTGGCTTCGGTGTTCCCTTCAGAAGCATGACACAGGCCTCCAACTCCCTGATGCATAAAAGTTAAGGAAGAAGGTGGAGACTAAGCACTAAAGATGGCAACTAATGTCATGTTGTCAAAGGACTCTGTAGAGGGTCCACTGCCCTATTTTTCTGTGGCAGACTTAAGGGCTAACAGGTCTGCTGAGAGTCTTCAGAGTTTACAAAATTCAACTTTATGAAAAGATCACAGTTTTGGCCACTATTCTTCACTCTAGAGCCTATCCCCTCGTACATGTGAAAATTCCAAGTACTTGGAACCTTCTTGAGCAGCTTTCTGTAAATGGCCTCAATATATTTTATCTGCTGGTTTTTAAACAGAAGGGGAACATGAGACCCTAGTATTTATAATCTGAGTATTCTATAAAACCCTAGTATTTCATCAAAATTGTAAAGCCACATATTTTTGGTAGAGAAACACCAAAAAGAGAAGCCTATGTCTGGAGGGATTCATTGTGATGAGAAGTCAAGAATCCTTCAGAGTTGGCAAAGGCATCTTAAAGCAATAGGATTCAGTCTCCCAGCTCTTCTAAGTTCTTGAGTTTTCTTCCCCAGAGCCAACTTAATGATGATGACTCCATCTCTGCCTGGATGACACCTGGAAAGGAAAGAGCAAGGGTTACAGGCGTGCTGCCGAGGGAGAGAGTCTATACTGCCACATCTGCCCACATTGCTTTGAGGCAAATATGAGCCCCTATTACTCTTGTTATTCTTTAAAGATGTCTTGGTACGTAGCCCAGGCTGGCTTTATCTTTGAAGCCTCTTGCTTTAGCCTCCAAAGGGCTGAGATTACAGGTCTGTGCCCCCTCCTCCACTGGGGTCTCTGCTCTTTACATGTTTCCAGCATGTGCTCACTGAGAATCTTCATTGACAAACATTTTGTAAAAGAGGAGGTTCCAGAAAAAGTACAATAGAATTGTGGGATTCTGAAGTGCTAGACAGTAGAGATCCTCGGACAGGCATCAGGTGCCCTGTTTTCTATCATTCATTCCTAAGAGGGAAGATGAAAGTTGTACTTAACAAGTAGTATTATTCAGGTTTATGATCTGCCATCCCCACAGTCTTGGGGAGGATGTAGTGTGAGAGATTTGTGACGGTCCTTTGTGGGAATGGAGTAGGATGGAGGGCTGGTGGTTAACTGATTTTTGTGTTACAAGTGCCTGGGCGAGGGGCAATCTGATCACAGTCCCAACTGGAGATGGGAAAACAGCACTGGGAAGGGTTACTGCTGTTGCTGTCGGAGGGTGGAGTAGTGCTAAAGAGAGCACACGGAAATGGGAATGTGGGGTGTTCCTCAGCAAGCCCATGAAAATAGTGGAACCAAAGTGAGTTCTGCCACAGGAGACCCACGTTCTTGGAAGTGTAGTGACCCCTTCAGCACTACATTTGTTTCAATGACTATCACCCCAACTGAGCTTCTTCTAAGAAGTAATTTACCAGGACAGCCCTGTGTCCTAGTGAGCAGTGCTTGAACAGCAGGTCCTCTTTAGGTTTTTCTACTTACTGAGTTAAAGTGGGTGTTCTTTAGCTGCTGCTGGCCTATCGTCAGGGATGAGGGTGCAGCCAGCCAACATGTCCAGAGAGGCCAAGATAGAGTCATAAAGGTGATCTGCATGGCTCTCCAGCTCACCAGACTGCTTTGCGATCTTCCCAAGGGCATCCTTTAAAACTAATGGTCAGGTAATAAAAAGGTACAGCAATTTGCTCAGACAGGATTATATAGTTCACAGTACCTCCTCCCCTGCCCCAACAAGGGTGACCTCTAACCTGCTTTCTAGCTGAGTATGACCTCGGACTTTTGTATACACCATTACACTGATGCAGTTCTGGAGATTGAACCCAAGGTTGCATGCAAGCTTGTCAAGCACTACCAATGGAACCACATTCCTAGCCCACCTTCCCTCTTTTAAACAATGATGCTCCAAGGCCTTAAGTAACATATTAGGGAAGTGTATTGATTTGGGGGGGGGGGGGACATAGGAATCAGTGATCAAAACTGGAGCAATGGTCTGAGAATAGGCTAAATTCACTCTTAGTGTCAGAAGGAGAGGAGGGATACACTAGGGCAGAGTATGCAAATAGGCTGGTTTTTGTTAAACACAAAAGCTGCTTGCTTCCTGTGCTTTATCAGCATTGTTAAATGCTTCCTGCTACAGGGCAACATCTGCCAGCAGAGGATAAGAAAGCGGAAGCCTTTGTTCTGCATACAATGTAGACTCCAAGGGGCAGGAAGGGAAGGGAGAGGAGGCTGGGGTGTGTTGAGGTCAGCCCCTTAGGAAGCCACATGAGGGCAAAGTGCTGTCCTAACAACTCCTGAGAGCTGGTGCCAGAGGAATGCTGTCAGGGTGGCTGAGCCACACTCTGTTCAGGCTTCCTGTGTCATCAGTGGAAATCTAGGGACCTTTTCTTTGAAACTTTACTGTAAACAGGTCATGGAAGAAAGGCTAGAAAGGGAACTAAACAGGTATGTTTTCCTGATGTGTTTTTTTTTTTATGTTGCTTTCATTTAACACATACATATTGGGCCTCATTTGGCTTAATTCTTATGGCTTCCAGTCATGTGACTCAAGGAGTTTAAGACAAAATGTCAGCCTTTGGTGGGGCACTGACAAAGGGGCCTCTTGGTGGTAGATAAGCCACAGTCACACTCCTAAGGTGGTATTTGTAGCCAAGTAAAAAAGCAGGCTCTGAAAAGCTGTTTGTGTGTGTGTGTGTGTGTGTGTGTGTGTGTGTGTGTGTGTGTGTGTGTGTGTTGTGTGTGTGGTACACTGACAGGATGCTGCTTCTGGGAGGAGGAAGTAGGAAGTCAAGAGGAACTTGAGGCTTGAACAAAACAGCTCAGTGCTCCAGGCAGAGGAATGGGAAGTTAGAGTACTAATCTGGAGGAGCCTTTCTGGCTGGTAAAACACCTGAGTTTTTTCTCAGAATAGGACAAAGTGGAACGTTAATGGATTTATTTCCAAGTGAAAGTCAGAACCATCAGTTTTAGGAGGCCTTCTATTAAACATGGTCTCCATGAAGAGAAGACTAATACTGAGCTCTCCCTGCTCCCTAGTCAGACCCTAGGACCCTAGGACAACAGCTGGAAACTTCTTCAGGCCCATGCTAAGTGTCTGGCAAAACACCAGCACAGGCAGAAGCAGTAAAGCTTGCTGCACCAAGTTCCTGCCCAAGTATAAAACCTAAAACTTGGGCTCAGGGAGTGGTGGCATTTACCATGTAAGCCCAGCAACCTGAGTCCAATCTTTAAAACCTGTGTAAGAGCAGGAGAGAAGTAACCACAAGGTTACCACCTGATCCATACATTCGGTAAGGGGCATGGACACACACACACACCCCATTCATATACCCATTAGAACAAACTGTTCAGTCTTAGCCACAAAAACACCTAAAGATCGTGTCAGACTACGTAGTAGAGAGGCAGGGGAGGCTAAGGGCTCACTGGGTCACACTGCTGGAGACCTGCCAGTGGTGGCTTTCCATGTAAACCTCTCCACGTGTTCACTTTCCCCAGGGTACAACTGACACTGGAAATGTTTTAGGGGCACTGTGGGGATGTGAGGGCTTCGGTGCTGCAAAACATCTTGCAATGCATGCGAACCCCTACAACAAAGAGTTGGGCAGCGGCACCAAGCCTGAAAGCTTGTTTTGTAACCCTTGTCCAGTAAGTGATGCCTGGCCAATTATTTCACACAAGGTTCATCATGGCTGTGTTTATGCCATTGGATTCTCCTGTAAATACTACCTCTCTCTGGAACTGCAGCATAATATAGACGGGCTCTGTGTAGTACTACAGGATATTAGGGACCATCAGTTCAAGGCTTTTGAAGACACAGATGGGTGTCAGTTCTTACAATCAAGCAGTTAGAAATGTTCGTGAAGTTCTCACTGTGCTAAATTTGGAACCTATGCTGCAAATGGGTTTGAGTCTGGTTTGTAAGCAACTGCAACCCTTCAGTTTCATTCTTTTTGTTCTTGTTTCTCTGTGTAGCCCTGCCATCCTGGAACTAACTCTGTAGACCAGGCTAGCCTCAAATTCAGAGATTGTGTCTGCCTCTGCCTCCCAAGTGCTGGGCTTAAAGATATATGTCACCATTTAATTCTTAAAAAAAAAAAAAGTATATATATATGTGTGTATATATATATATATATATATATATATATATATATATTCTTTGTGAATTTCACATAATGTATTCTGATTATATGATCCCCATTCCTTCCCCTAATAAATTGATTCTTTTACCCAGTCTGTCCCCAAAAACAGACTTCACACCCTCCCCTCTCCCCCCTCACGAGCCCAGGCTGATCTCCAGCTTTCTGAGTTCTGGGTAGCAGGCTGAGCAATAACTGTCTGTAGCTGATACAATAGATGCTTGACAGAAACCCTCCCCTAAAGTAGAACATTTTGAGAAACTCACCAGTTAAATTTGAGCTAGGTAGGAAATCTGAGGGTTTCTACCAACTACCTTAACTACAACTAAGGACTGCTACATCAGATTCTGGATTCCCAGGCCAGTGAAATGGCTCAGAGAGTAAACCACCTGCTTTTAGAGAACCAGCTCTCAGAAAGTTGCCCTCTGACCTCTACATATGTGCCATGCACACATACCTGAAGTTATAATACACACTTAATTCAGAACATCACTAGAGACTTTGAAAAGCAAAAGCAGGCATTTCTTGCAGGCTGGCACAACAGCTTAGAGGAGTAAGTGCTTGCTGAGCAACATGATAATCCCATTTGATACTCAAGCCGTGTAAAAAAGTTGAAAAAGTGGTGGTTCATCAAGATGGCAGGCAGAGGGGAGGAATCCAGGGGAAGCATGTGTATGCTGTTGCCTCAAACCCAAGGTGGAAAGGGCCTCACATGCTACATAAAACAATGAATCTTTCTTGTAGGCTTGGTGCTTAGTCTATGCACTTGGTGCATAATTTACTTCTATGCCTCTAACACTCCCAGGGCTGCAGAGGCTGGAGGGACAATGATACAAGCAACCAGCAGGTGTTCTTTGTGGGCCTCTTTTAGGCAGCATGCATGTTTTCTTCCTACAGAAGAGCAAACCTCTGGCTAAGTTTGAAACTTGAAGCAAAAGGCTATAGATGCAGCTCAGTGGTAGCATCTATCTTGCATCCTCCAGGCCCTGGATTTGATCTCTCAGCAATGGATTCAAATGAACAAACAAAAGAGCAAAAACAACACTCAAGCTGGAGAGATGGCTAAGAACTCTTACTGCTATTGGAGAAGGCCCAGGTTTGGTTCCTAACACCTACTTGGAAGCTCACAATAAACCTTTTGCCTCCAATTCCAGAGGATCCAACACCCTCTCCTGATCTCCACATGTTCTGGCATGCATATGGTACACATATACATACTCAGGCACACACACATGTTTAAAAACAAAATACCTCAAGCAAATATACACAGGAATGCAGGGGGCTGGAGGTTTCTCAGTGATTAGAATCACATATGGCCGGCTGTTCCTGAGGACTTGAGTTCCTGTGTTAGGCTGCTCAAATCCAGCTGTAGTGTAAGGGCATCTATGTCCTGGCCACTAAGGGCACCTGTACTCATATTCATTACCCTCACACTGATACATAATTAAAAAATAAAATCAATCTTTTTAAAAAAGGGCCCCACACTGGTTGGTGGTGGTACACACCTTTAATCCCAGCACTCAGGAGGCAGAGCTAGGCAGATATTTGTAAGTTCAAAGCTAGCCTCGTCTACTTAGTAAATTCCAGAACAGCCAGGGCTACATAGTGAGACCAGGTCTCAAAAATCAAACAAGCAAGAAGCACTATAGGCCCATTGAGACAGCACAGCAAGTGGGTCTTAAAGGTGTCTGTGAGCCTGATGATCTGACTTTCATATCTGGAATTCACATAATATATAAGAATTTAAACACACACACACACACACACACCAGTGTGATCAAGAGTTAGGAGACCTAGTCTTACAAAATCAAATTGTAGGCTCCAGCCTGTAATCCCAGGACTCAAGGCACAGGTCAGCGAATCCTTGCAGGTTCAAGGCCGGCCTGACCTGTACAGTATTAGTAGTCAGAACTATATAGAGAAACTCAAAAACTAAGCAACAACAAACAAAGCAATTATTAGTGTTACTATTAATAGGTATCTGATTTTAAAAAAATGGATGAATGACCTAGATACTTCAAAAGAGGATATTAGGAAAGACCAACAAACCTATGAAAAAGGAACAGTATTATTAATCATGAGGGAAACTATATTGATATATAATCTTCAGTTAAAATGGCCAGTATGAAGTAGACAAAATGACAGCAAGGATGACAGCAAAGGGAACTCTTACACATTACTGGTGGGAAGCAGCAATACGGAGGCCTTCACAAGACTAGATACGGCAGCAGGGTCTGGGAACCCACTACTGACTACTGTACATCTAGGAGAACGAAAGCTACGCTCTCCCCTTACTGTGCTCTAATCACATCTCTGGATGACCTGGAACTGGCGTGGAAAATGGGAACAATCTGAAAATCACTGTCAGATGAAACTGTTAAGATGTCCTCCCTCCTTCCCTTTCTCCATCCAGATAGGGCCTCACTATGTAGCCCAGCCTGTCCTGAAACTATCGAATCAGGCTAGCCAAAATTTAAGAGGCAGCTCTGCCTCCCAAGTTTGGGAGCCACAATGCCCGGCTCTTCATCTTTAATTTTATGTTGACTAATTCAGACATATATATATATTAAAATTCACTAATAGGTAAGTGGGCTGAATTCCTAAGGGCAGCTCTAACACAGTGGAAAGGCATGTTCCAATTTATAAGCACACACAGTGCAATGTGAGTCACACCAGACCCATAGATAAGTACATTATGTCAGTAAACAACCAGACACAGTTCTTGGTTACCCACCTGGGGTGTTGTCCATCAGGCACTGAAGAAGAGTCTCCCCCTTCTCCAAGACACTCTCTGTCAGGGACTGATGCTTGTCTATGTCTTTCTTAAATTGCTTAAGACATAGGGAAAGAAAAAAGTTTCAACGCTATTGCTTGTAAAAGTCGTCTAGAATGAACACTACCCAATACGTGACTTCTCTAAATGGAAGGCAGCCACACATAGTCAAGAATCCCTCTGTGGACTAATCTAGTGGCAGCTTCTTTGAGTCCATGGAGATATATTCACTGATTTTGTTTGTCGAGATTTAGCTCAGGCTGGTCTACAGAGTCCTCCATCTTACCCTCCCCAGGATTATAACCCTGTGCCATCAAGCCCAGCTCCACAGAAGTTTTCCCCAGAAGAGGATGGCTCTTGGACAGGCTGGAGTAGGGATTCCATTCTGTACACTACTGTATGGTCTTCTCTAACTCAGGTATGGGATTGACCCTTAGGATGAACATGGTAGGTGAGAACTATAAGCAGCAGCTTGTCACTACACTGACCACACAGACCTGTGGCCCCCACTTTTACACCTCTCAGGCCTCTATAGTAACACCTTGGCATTAGGGAAGCTGCTATTTTCCCAAAAACTCATCCCAAGCAGATCATTCCTCACAGCTAGAAAGCATTGTTGCTGATTTTCATTTTTGTTAAAGGAAGTCCTGGCTACCCTAAACTATGTAAACTGGACTGGCCTGCTTCTGTCTCCTGACCACTCAGATTAAAGGCATGCACCACCATTAGCTGTAGCTAATTTTTAAAAATCTCTTTAGACAGTAAGAATTATATAAAATTAAACCCATGCTATGGGACAGACCTCACTGCTTAATATTTTGAGGATGTTAACTTTACTCTTGGATTTGTTCTCCTGCCCTCAGTATTCCTTTGCCCCCAAACTTTATCCTTCTATGCTCTAGGGAGTTTAGATGTTGCCTCAACCCCATTGGTATGCAGTACAGGGGAGGATGAGTGATGGTTAAAATCTGAGTATACATAAATCCGAGCACTCGGTCTTGGTCCAAGCAAGAGCCAAGAGAGCACATTTGCAAGCCATGTTCCATTCTGAGGAAGGTGTGAGCAGTGTCATCTCACTGACATAGCTGTGTACATACAAGAGGCATAAGCTTGACTAATGCAGGAATAACTCCCGACTCAATTCACAAGACTGCTGTAGCTGGCTAACTGGAAGTTGAGTCATAAGAGGGTTAGGAGGGCTCAAATGGAGAATGGAGTAAACCTATTTATACTTGCTGAGCCAGGCCAGGAAAGGATACTGAGATAAGTCTGATAGAGCAATCCCTCTCCCTGGGACTCCCCAGGGGTACTCTTCAGGCACAGACACTGTGTTTGAACAGAAAGAACCTTCAGGTTCAGCCTTCCTCTAGTTTCTCTATCTCTGCACTGTATCTAACAGCATTCCTGCCATGGCAGGACAGCTGGCTAGCCCACGCTAGATTTCAGTAGATTGCAAGAGAGAAGACAAAGGCTCCCGTCCAGATGAGCTGAGTCAGAGCTTGGTGGTAAATCTCACCCTCTTCTGCTGACTCCGTGTTAGGTTACATGATCAGATCTGGGTTCCCCTTCCCTGCAAGGCTAGCAGCAGTCCTGGGCCACAAACACTGCCACCATGTGATCAAAGTCAGCCAAGTTTACCTGAGGCAGCAGTTATAGGAATTACCCTCCATTTCAATATGCTTTTTATCTAGTACCGTTAACTAAAATTAATAGGTGTGAAATAACAGACCTTAAAAACAGACATAAAACAAAACCCTAAGTCCCAAACTGGTGTCAGAGTTGGGGGAAATCTGGCTTAAATCTATCCTATCACACAGCTTCAGCTGAGTTCCATAGACATCAATACAGCCTGCAAGAACTCTGGTGACATTGATGTGTCTGTGTTTGCACTGCCCATGTGGCAGCCACACATAGCTGTGGTACATGTTGGAGTTAACTGTCATACGTGACTACTGTCTGTAAATCCCAGGCTCTAACCCTGAGACATCTGCCAAAGTACCATGTAAACCCCTCAAAAGTATTTCTGACTCAAATTTTCCTCTATCTGGCCTGGGAGTTCAAAATTTAGACTTTGAAAAAGGTGTCTTGATTGGATTTATTCAGATAAAATAGTCAATTGAGCTACAAGGTTCCAGTTACTTAAGATTTTATTTTGTAAGAAATGATTTAACCACTAATCTCAAGGTTGAGCAAGTCAGGAGCCAGGACCACACATACCCGGTAAAGCTGCAGAGAAGACTTGAGACCTGTAAGAGTGGACCTGGGTGGAGTACTGAGGTCAGCAACATCTGTGATGTTATACAACCAGCATATCAACTCTTCCAGCTGACAGCAAAATGTCTGTGGAGACAAGAACACATGGAGGCCGGAGAGAACTCAGGGCCCAGTACCACAAAAGCCAAGCCCACATGGGCCACCCGAGTGCACTGCTGTGTACCTTATCCCAAGGCTAAAAATAGCATTTTGGCATACTGCTATCTTCATCTGTCTCCACCCTACCCCATGACTTCAGACTTCCCCATGCCAGGACAATGAATGCCATCCTGGTTGTGTCTTCCTTAGCCAGATGCGACATCAAAAACAACAGACTCAGAATACACAGTCCCGACAGTGACGGTGAGAATGGAGCTATGGAGGAACAGGGACAAGGAGCCCAGCAGAGCAAGCTCGTCACTCCAGCCAGTTCTTGGATCTAAACTTTCTATTCAAAAAAGCATAAGTGAATGAGCGAACACAATGAAGCAGTGTATCAACTTCAATTACCAAGGCACACATAACATTGGTGTTTCATGTTACCTAACTTCTCTGCCATTTTCTTACGACCATTAAAGGAGAACACCACCTATATTTGGGGGGCATATCTCTGGGGTGCTAAGACATGCTGTTGAGCATCTTTACCTGCACACATTGCACCAGCGATGCTTTCTCCTGTCCTCTGTCCTTGGGAAGCTTCTTTCCAGCAACTGGTTCTGAGAACGGCCACCTGTCTGATGTAGCTTGCAAGGTGGGGTGAGTTTTCATCAGTCCAGAAGAGACCCCGAGGGCCTGGCTGCTCACCTTACTTTTGCCTGTGGAGTCCTTAGCATGGATAGAGTCTACAAAGCAAGGGTTCTGGACCACAGACCCTTGGAAAGCAGCACCAGAAGGATGCTGCCTTTGGCTAGAGTCCAATGTGGGGGACTCATCACTGTCTGAGACCATCAGTGAACTGTGCTCCTCAGCAGCCCCAGTGGGTAGGTTCACAGATGTGGGAATGACACTTAAGTAGGACATCATAGAAACTGGAGTCAGCCTCGTGGGCAGGGCAAGGTACTCATCTTCACTTTCCATTTCCTCTTCTGATGTCCACCCAGGCTTCACACAGGTGGGATGACCAACATTCTGGCAGGCTCTCTTCTCCCTCTCTAGTCTTGGAAAGGGCAGCCCCCTCTCCTTCGTCTTCAGCTGGGGAGAGCCCACACTGAGGTTCTTGCCTATAGGCAGATAGCCTTTTGTGTCCCTCAGGGCTGCCTCTCTGTTCTTGGAAGAAGCATCCTCAGTGCCTGGGGTTCTAGGGGTTGATGCAAGCTGGTTCCAAGATGGCAGGTTTATGCCATCCTGTTTCTGGGATACTCCCAAGGGCCAATGCTTAAGGGTTCCAGAAAATGGCAGGGAAGGTACTTCTGCTGATAAGCAATTGTGGGAGACATCAATGGGTGACTTGAGAGTACTTGCTGGGGAGACAGAGAAACTGTCCAAATCTACACCTGAATCCTGCATGACAGGGTCAGCCAGCACATGACTCTCAAATTGCTTTGGGAGCTGAGGCCCAGGCCTCAGTGGGTAAGTGTAGTCAAGCAAATCTTCGTACTCTTTATTTGGGTTCCAGAGTGGGGAGTGGCGGTCAGGAGAGGGAGGCAGAGAATTTGGCAGCACACAGGCCCAGTACTCTGCCTGAAAGGAGAGTTGTCTCTTACCCAGGCTAGTAGCATCACCACCAGGGGCCACAGACTGTGGTGACCACAGGGGCTGAGGCCCTGTCCCCACCAATGAGGGGGCTCCCTGGGGTACAATCAACTCCCGAGAAGAGAACTTGGCAAAGGAGCTACTTTGAGGCTCTACCTTCTCTTGGTGGCCCTGGAGACTGCTGCCCATGGAAGAGGCAGAGAAGCTTCTGCTAGAGAGCTGAGGAGCACCTGGGCTCACTGTGAACTCCCCCTGGGACAGGAGAGGGCACCCTGAGATGTGAGGTTGCTGGCTGAGGCCCAGCACCTGAGGAGAATCAGATGGGGGCTGGCTGTCTTCACTGGCAGCATCGTGTCCTGAGCAAACAGTTACAGTTCCAAGGACTTTAACCCTTTGAACCTGGGAGGCAGGATTCTTGTTTTCCTCCATCTACAGTAACAAGGGAAAAAAGACACTAGATGAAAATAAACTTTTTTGTTGGTGGTGTTTGTTTTTTGGTTTTTCAGTTTTTTAAAACAGGGTTTTCTCTGTGTAGCCCTAGCTGCCCTGGAACTTGCTCTGTAGACCCGACTGGCCTAGAACTCACAGAAACTCACACCTACCTCTGTCTCTTGTGTGCTGGGATTAAAGGCATGAGCCACCACCGGCCAGCGGTTGCCTTCTTTTTTTAAAAATTATAAAAATACCTACAAATCTCAGGGTATGGACATCCTTCACTGTTATCCATAAACTTTTTTAAGAACAGTTTTCTTCTTTAAGGTTAAGGGAGGAGAGTGGGAGGGTTATCAATGAAACAAAGTAAGTCTAAGGATCCTATGGTAAAACCTACTTAGTATAGTTATCTAAGAAAACAAAATAAACAAACAAAAAAAAAAAAAAAAAAAAAAAAAAAAAAGGAAAGAAAGGAAGACAGGTACGTAGACTGTCTTTCCAGAACAGTATTCAAGATTCCTGCTGCTTGTGATTAGTACTAAAACTCATCCTACCCTGGGGAAGTCTCTTGCAACTGATCCTGAACCCACCTGAGGGCAGAACTCAAGACAGTTCCATATGCAGAAGCTGGGAACCAATGCCTCTCCTGACCATAGGTCCCAGCAAGTGAAACAAGCCCTCCTTCATCGTCACTCACAGGAGATGCAGCAGGCTCCACCAGGGGGTGCCCTGTTCACATGCCAGTGCACTCTGGCAAAATGACTCCCTCAGCTTCTTTACCTTGGATTTTTAACTCACCCCAGAGGAAGACAATAACTATCATAAGAACTTCAGAACCAGACTGACCCGATGTTAATGAACTCCTATTTGTCCCACCTTCCAGAGGTACACCTGAGAGTCTCCCCTCCCGCCCTGCCTCCCCAAGGACTCATTAAGAAAATACTAAGAGCCCCTCCTTAGCAGGCATAAGAACAGAAGCCACAGCCTTTCTTTGAACACACAGTCACTTCTGGGCTTGCTGATTTGCTTCTTGACCCAACAAACAGGATTTACAGTGGCAGAGCCCTCCCAGACCCTTGCTTTCAACAGGTAGGCCCAGGTACTACTCCCAGTCATACTCAGAATCTTCTCACAGGATAGGCTCCGAGGAGAGAGCAAGCAGCAGCCAAAACCACAATGTACAAATTAGAGCTGCACCTAGGCCTTGGTAGCCTGAACACGATGTTGCCAGAGCCAGGAGGAGCAAATCATTGGTCATTCTTCCTCTACAGGGTTTAAAAGAGTCAGAGACTGCCTTTGGCCTTAGAGCATGGGAGGATTTCCTGCCCTGTGTGGCTCTTACTGGAGGGAGACACTAACTGCCTTGTGGTCTCCAGTCATGGAGGCCAAAGACCCTGCTGTCCATGAAAGCAGCTTCAGGATTCTGACCAGTCTCAAGAACATTTGGTCTGGGAACTCACAGGGTCCCCTAGAAGCTTTCAGATCACAAATCAGAAGTGGGATAAGGGTCCCCCTCATTAAGAGACCCCTGATCCTAGTCCTCTGAACAGTAGACTCCTGATGAACCTCTCACTGCCCTTAAGAGGTTCCCAGTGACTCTGGGAACAGGAGATACTGCATAGAGCCCCCTGCTGACTCCACAGCCCAGTTTGTACCCAGGATCCCACAATTCCCACCTTGCAGTGATGGGCAGGTTGTAACAGTCAAGGAGATGCAGCACACACCCAAAGGATACCCTGGCTCAGCTCCAGCCTCAACTCCTCAGTACTTACATGGTTTCCCACAGAGTGAAGGTCTCCAGTTCCCATGCTGACGCTGAGGGTAGGCTTAGACGCATCTGCTACAGGTTCTTCACTGGCAGTGTGGGCCTGTGACAAGAAAACTCTAGAGATGCAGTCAGGGTCAGCCTCAGCCCTTCCCTTGACTTGTAGATGCAGGGGCTGCTGTGGTTCAAGCCCTGGGGGCAGCAGTTCCTGTCCCACAGAGTTCCAGCTGCCACAGGACGGGGCCTTTGTGTTGACAGATGTGTCTGCCTCAGCAACATCTTCACCCAGAGCCATTGAGTCTTCCCTAAATTGGGTTTCCCTTGAAGCCTTCAGGAACCTACAAAACAAAGGAAGGAGAGAAATATATATATATATTCTTCATGTGTTCAGAAAAACCTTGATTTTTAAGTGAAGACAAATTTTTCTGGCCAAAGGGACAGTGACCACTTCCTTAGCGCCAAGGTCTGGCTTTTCTTCAGCCCAGATCCTTTCAAAGGGGATGCCTTAGTACATGACTTTGTCCTCTGTCAATTGTGGTATTGTCTCCTTTGAGTCAGGACAGGTGTGACCAAGCAAAAGGCTTGGCCAGCTTACTGCAAAGGTCATAAAACAAGGCAATAGAAGAAAAAAGGTATTATAAGCCATCTGATCCAGGTGGAAGACAAACATTCCAAGGCCATCTTCCTTGCCTGGAAGCTGAAGGAAGAGGTTTACCTAGGAGAAGGGTGAGTGCAGGCTAGCAGGGGCCTTCTCACAGGTTGTGATTAGAGACACATCTGATCCTAACTGCCTGCTCATGGGATGTTTTTCAGTTCTGCAAATCTCACAACGGGTCATTATTTTCTAGGGCCCTTCTCGCTGATTACTTTCCCATGTGCTGGACATTACACATGGGCAGACTAGAAGGAGGGGTAGCTACACAAAGCCCTCTTGTGATTACCAAACTCCCTCAGGTGAAGTGAAACGGGCTTGAGCACAAGGCTTTGCCTCAGTGTACAGCACAGATGCAATTCAGAGACAGGACTTGGACCCATGTATGTCGCCTCTTTCCCCAACCTCATTGATATGTCCAGCTGGCCTTTGCCATGCACAGCCCCACAGTAGTTCTCTTATGTCAAGGGCTTGTGGGTTAGCAACTTGAGTTGTCCCTTCTACCCTAGAGGAGAGCAAGTTCAGGTATGCTTGGGCTTCCACTGGGCTCAGGAGGATGCTTCTAACTATTCTTGGTGGGAGGAGACTGAGGGACTAGGAACCACTCCCAGACTGGACCAAGTGGAGCTTCTGATCCAATGATGACCAATGACCAGAAATAGATTGGCACCCCTATTGCGGTTAAATAAGGATCAGCATAAACAAATAGGCCGAATAGATGTTTATTCAGGGAGAAATAACTTACAACCTAGACAGATGAACACCAGGGAATTCCACCCGATGCTCTCCTGTCCGAGTCACACCAGCAAGAGAGCTTTTCCCGGCTCTCCCTCCTACCTCCTTCCACAGGTCACTTCCGCCCATGGCTCCACCCCCAAAGGGTGTGGTCAGTGCCACAGAAGGACTATCTCACTACAATTCCCCTTTTAGTCTAAAGAAAAGATTTAGGCTTAATACAAAACTATATACAAAACAGTGAATAACAAGTGTGCTCTAAGAAAAGGAAAATCGAGAACAAAATGACCTACACATCTAGTCCTAGGGTGAAGGCATAACGGAGTTTACAATAGAGTTGTCCTAAGCTGGAAAATGTAAGTCTAGTACCTAATATATCTAACTAGGAAGAGAGAATAATAGTTGTGATAGTTTAATCTTCAACCTCGTCAAGACCTGAGAAGGAAAATAACAATACTAGAGTAAACAGGAAGTGTGGGTGGACAACTTCCAAAAGGTGCAGCAAGGACAGAAACAGCAAGCCACCTGGACAGTCACCCTAGGTCTCACAGCAACGTTGGTACACCCAGTTTTGGCTAAGGCCAAGAGAACTTGACAGACCACAACAACAGCAGGGAGGTAGAATGGCTGTCTTACCCTGACTTGGCAAGGTCAAGCAGTCTTCTATATTTGTCTCCTGCAAGCACATAGGACTGCATGTCCAAATCAGTGGTCAAGGTGGGGGCAATTCTTTGCCCAACAGGCCATTAGCTGAGGTGAGAATGAACTCCAACAGGAGCAACAACAGTGTCCAACATATTTTCGGGAAAGTGCACGGTGCTGTCAGGAGCAACAGTGTCTCATGTCAATGGAGTACTAATACTAAAACATTTAAATGCCATGTTCTGCATGTCTATGAAGTGATTGAAGATTAAGCATCTATATCTGACTAATCTCATAGGTACAGGAAACGTGAGTGAAGATAATCTGTAAACACCCCTTCTCAGGCTGCCTTGGTGTGAGCTGACCTTAGCAGCCTTAGAAAGCCGCCATGGAAAGCTGGGTGGTGATGGGTGAGCTGATGTGAGGAAGGAGAGCACCCCAGGCAGTGATGGTGAGCGCACTGTTGGGGGAAGTCAGGAAAGAACTGGCTGGATCTACAGGAGCACACCAGGACAACAGAGGGACACCAGGCTGGCATCAGCAGGCCTGGGCACTGCTGAGATGACACGGGCAAGTCTAACCGGAAGGACACAGAAGGGGACAGTGAGCTACCTGCAGAGAACTGGACCAACCTCAAGACTCAAACCTGGACAGGAACAGCCTTATTTTCCCCAGAGACTAGAGGCAAAGTGTAGAAGAGGAGGTTGCTGGTGGTAACACTGGAAGCTGCCAAGGGGCAGGGCTCATCCTGCTGGGCTTCAGTACCAGGAAATGCAACCCCTACTCTTCCTAACCGGCATATGGAGCTCCAGGCTATTCTGGGGTGACTTCAGAGAAAAGTCAATCAACTCACTCTTGTAAGCACTGGATCCTTCAGAGGTTGATCAGACCCTGCCCTGTTTTCTTTTTCTGGTAGAAACCTAACCTTCACGTAACAAAGTAGTTACCACTGAACAGTCCCACAAACACAGGTAAGCAGTACTGTTATTTCGTGTATGACTTGTATCACATGATATATATGCAAACACAAACATTCCACATATACCTTTATTATAAAAGTGCTGAACAGGGCAGGACATACCATTCAAAACCTTGCCCCTCACCCCCCCCCCCAAAAATAGAACAGTACTAGGGATTGGACCTAGAACCCTAGAGCAGGCCTGGAGATCTAAGGGCAGCCCAATAGCTACTGGTATAACCCCAACCAAGGAGCAGCTCTCCTGTTAAGAGTCATCCTCTTCAGCCACGATGAACACACATGGGCGGTGAAGAACGAAGAGGAAACATGCCTCACCAGCCACATCCACTAAATCACTCTGGCTATGAATGGGGTGACAGATAAAGCCAGATTGTCCTCACATCCCAAATCTAGAATCTTGTGCATGCTATGGAGTCAAGTTCAGAGCTGTGTGACTCCAGAACCTAAGCTCTTGATAAGCCAAACAAGGATCAAGAAAGAAAACAAACCAAAAGGCACCCAAACAGCAGAGGGTGGAGAATGGGAGAGGGAGAATGGTCAAGCTCAGATCAGATATTTTCATGGCGCCACATCCTCGCCTTGTGGCTCTTTAAAGAACTGCACATATTACTTATTTTTGTGTATGTACATGTGTGTCTGTGTGTGTGCACACATATGGGCTCACAGAAGCCAGAAGACATCTCCTGGAGGAGCTCGAGTTGGGGGCTGCTTGCCAGAACTTGGGTCCTCTGGAAGAACAGCAGGCATTAACCGTTGAACCATCTGTCCAGCCCCTGCACCAGTTTTTGATTACTACAGCTGACCCTATCAGCTGGAGAATTTAGGGTGAGGAAAACCTATATATCACTTTCTGGTTGCTTCTCCCACCACTTCTAGACACTCTCAATGGTTACAGCTTCTTATGCCCCTAACAAAGCACTCACTTATTTCTGCATGTATGCAGATGCACATGCCATGCCATGCCATGCCATTCACAGAGGTCAGAGGACAATTTCTAAGAGTCTGTTCTTTACCTGATGAGCCATCTCAAAGAGAGAAACATCTATGTTTCAAAGACAAGTTTTTAAAAATTCTGTCTTGCCTGGAGGTCATTATCCACAAAAGGTTTCAAACTTGTCCTAGGGAGGGCAGCATAAAGAGCTATTGTAGCTCTCAAAGGCTGCAGACTGACCCTCCTAAATAGCCAGCAAGGAGGCTGTATCCTGAGCTAGGTTACTTAGTGGCCAGAGGCCCTTATTTGTCCAGGTGTGGTGGTCTGAATAAGAATGGCCCTCATAGATGTATCCCTAGTTGGTGTAACTGTTTGGGGAAGGATTAGGAGGTGTGGCCTTGTTAAGGAGGAAGAGTGTCCTTGGAGGTGGCTTTGAGGTTTCAAAAGCCCATGCCAGGCCCACTCTTTCTCTGCCTCCAATTTGTGGTTCAAAAAAAAAAGTGAGCTCCAATGCCTGCCTGCCTGCTACCATGCCTCTCACCATGATAGTCATGGACACACCCTCAGAAACAGTAAATAAGTCACCAATCAGATGCGTTCTTTTCTAAGTTGCCTTGGTCATAGTGTCTCTTCATAGCAATACAACAGTAACTAAGACACCAGGTCAAGTCTGAAATTCACAGCTGAGTTCAAGCCCTAAGCACATGATGGAAGGAAAAGAACCAATTGCAAACTGTCTTCTGGCCCACACACCCACACCCACCCACCCACCCACACACCATGGCACAGTGAGTGCCCACACTTACAATACACATATACCCACTTCAGCAGTGCAGTCTGGTCTTCCAGCACCCATGTCAAGCAGCTCACAACTACCTGTAACTCGAACTCCAGGAGATCTGATGTCTTCTGGCTTCTGTGAGCCCATGTGTGCACACACATAGACACACATGCACATGCACAAAAATAAGTAATATGTGCAGTTCTTTAAAGAGCCACAAGGCGAGGATGTGGCGCCATGAAAATATCTGATCTGAGCTTGACCATTCTCCCTCTCCCATTCTCCACCCTCTGCTGTTTGGGTGCCTTTTGGTTTGTTTTCTTTCTTGATCCTTGTTTGGCTTATCAAGAGCTTAGGTTCTGGAGTCACACAGCTCTGAACTTGACTCCATAGCAAGCACAAGATTCTAGATTCAGAATGTGAGAGTGATCTGGCTGCAGAAAAATTAATGTAATAAAAAGTTTTTCTTTAGCCAGGCGGTGGTGGCGCACACCTTTAATCCCAGCACTCGGGAGGCAGGCGGATCTTTATGAGTTCAAGACCAGCCTGGTCTACAAGAGCTAGTTCCAGGATAGCCTCCAAAACCACAGAGAATCCCTGTCTCAAAAAAAACAAACA